CACAGTGGGGAAAGGACTGCCTCAGACCTGGCTACACCCGCCTCCCAGCTCAGGTGCCCGACAGATGCTCCTAAACTCCTGGCAGAGAACGTGTGTTGACCCGGCTGAGCCAGGGTCTGCGTGTCAGTGGCCTAAGCAGCTAGGGGGCGAGCAGCGGGCGTGTCCCAGGACAGAGTGCTGGGGGCTGTAGTAGGGAGGTAGCCACCGAGCTGGGCGCTGGGAGCTGGAGGCGAGCAGGCATCACGGGCCGTGGGAGGACGCGCTCCAGGAAGGACACAGCAAGGCCTCCAAGGTCTGAGCTCAAGCACCCCAGGCGACGGCCGGGCTCCAGGGGCGCTGCCTGACCTCTCAGAGCTCCCCTCGCCGCCTGGATGCCGGCCGGTTCTGCCCGCTGCCCTGTTTCCTTCCCTCCTGAAGGCAGGACCAGCCTCTTCAGCCGACTTCCCCAGGGCTGGGCGTGCAGCACCCCGGGCCGAGCTGTCCCCAAGGCTGGCCTGGACTGACCTTTGTTCCCCACCTCCTCACAGGGGCCACGGGCAGCCAGCTGGGTGTGTTTGGGAACTACAAGGCCTATGGGGGAGCTGGGCCCAGGGGTGCCAGAGCCACGGTCAGGGCTCAGCCCAGCAGGATCAGTGCACCCCCACACTTCCTCCAAGGACTGCCTACGGCCCCCATCTCTGCCCCCGGGGGCCTGTGTGCTCCCAGGAGAGAAGGCCTGAGCTCACCTGGTGTGAGCACAGCAGGGATTGTGGGAGGGTCTTCGGGGAACCCCCACCCCACACTCAGGGCTATGGGGGCACCCACATTAGTCCCAGCTGACTTGTCCCTTCCACCTCACAACAGTCTCCTTAACTAGGCTGCTGAGCTCGGGAATACTATTTCTAACACTACAAGTACCTGGCAGCTCCCGCTGCTAAGATAATGGCGTGAAGCTGCCGTCTCAGGAGTGTGGCTCCTACACATATGTCAGATGGGGCCCTGCTCCAGCTGTCACGGGCCACTGGGCCACAGGGGGGAATGGGCCAGGTCACACCAGTGTCAAAACAGTGCCCCCAAGGGGTTTGCCTTTTCAAGAGACAGAGAAATGTAAACACTGGGTTTCTTAATATATAGTAAACCTAAAATGTGATTGCATATTCATGAAGCATATTTATAGAATATTTCTGCGCTGGAGCTAGTTTTCTTAAGATTGGGGATGGGAAGAAAGCTGAGAGGAAAACTGAGGTGGGCAAAAGGCAGGGAGGAGAGAGTGAGAGGAGGCAAAGGAGGGGTGAGAGGAAGAGGTGGTCACAGGCTCCAGCTTGGTCCCCAGGGGTCTCCAATCCTTGATTTCAAGTCTTCCCAGCCAGTCAACTTACCTTTGCCAAGAACGCCCTGGGCCAGGCGCCACGGCCAGGCCTGGGACATGTCAGGAAAGGAGGCAGGCGGACCCTTCCCTATGGCGCCCACAGGGAGGACAGACGGACGTTACACATAACCAATTCATTAGTATGGTGCTAAGTTCCCTGGAGGAGATGCAAAGCCGGGAGAGAGGGTTCCAGGCAGCTCAGCCTCACCCCAGGACATCAGGAAAGCTTTATTTGCAGTCACAATGTTACACTGAGGTCTTATCCAGGTTTGGGGGACAACGGTATGGGGAAGAGCATGTGTGAGGGCCCTGGGACGTGAAGGGGTGTCCCCCGGGAGGACGTGAGGGAATACCGTGCGGGCCCGAAGACGGTCCTGACTCAGGCAAGGCAGGAGGGGACACGCCTCTCCACTGGCCTCCGGTTTGATGGTGAAGTGAGCCCCGGAGTGAACAGGTGGATATTTTCAGGAGCCCTCGGGCTGCCATGTGGAGATGCTGGGAGTACTCCATGCATCAAAGGTGAATTGCACGGGGACCACACAACCAACTGTGGTGCAGGATGGAGCAGGACAGGGTCCACGAGCAGCTGAGGGCTGAGACAGCTTCTGCCCTCTGAGCTGGCTTAGATTAGGAAGTGAGGGGAGAGGAGGGGTTCAACCGAGAGACTTTGATAAGTTTGCTGTTCTTGGTCACTTTCCTTTGGAGGTCACCAGGTCCCATGGTGGCTGGTGGCAGTGGAGTGTACACAAAGAAAATAGCACATAAGCACAAAGAATGCCACAATTAGTGTACGGGAAAGGGAAGGGATCAGGTGGTGGTCAGAGGGTGGAGAGAGGGTCAGGCTGGAGAGGGTGGTGGATGCAAGGCGAGGAGAGGACTTCCAGGAGGGCATGGCCAGCAGCACAAATCATCCAAGAACACTTGAACACTTGGAGAATGGGAACGGAGGCCAGATTTCAGAGAGCTGACTGGGTGGAAGGGAACTGCAGTGGGGAGGTGTTTGGGAGAGTAAGGTAGGTGAGGAGTTGGCAGTACCTGGGAAGGCAGGGAAAGTCTTCCAGACGGAGGAGCCATGAAAAAGGAAGTGGGGAGGCTGATGGAGCCCCCATCCCGGTCCTGCTGCCTGTGTGGAGATTCTCACTCACTCCCAAGATGGGAAGTAGCACTGAATGCAGTCGCTGAGCAGCCTGGAGTCAGGGACCTCGTAGCTGGTTAGACAGGAAGTCTCAGGGACACTTGTCCTAGAGCCTGGGCATGGCTTTCTGCCTACCCAGCAAGAGCCCTGGACCCCCGATTGGGGAAAGGCTACTAGGGAGCATGGATCAGACGCTAGTCTGTCTCCTTCCTTTGCACTCATCCATGCACTGGACCGGGGAGGTGGCTGGGAGGAGCAGGAGATCAGCTTCCGAGAGGAACGCGAGGCTCTCAGAGAAGCCCTCCCTCTCCCTGTGGCCCTGCAAAGCAGGGAGGGCCAGGTAGGGGTGTGCTGGTGGGCTGCAATAACTGGAGAACTCGGCCCCTCTCCCTGACAGCAATGACCAGGACAGAGGAAGACAGCACTGGAGGGCAAGGGGAGAGGCAAGGAGCAGGGAAGGTGGGTGCCAAAGACCCTCCCTTGCACTCACTGACCCCATTAGAGATGTGCGGCCTGGGGTGGCAGGGGGCGCGCAGGGAGAGTGGGGGACACTCAAGGAAGCAGCCCTGCCCCTTGAGCACAGCCTCCAGGAGGGGAGCCATTCCAACCCGTTTTTAAGGTGATGTGTTGACATGACAGCTGCGATAAGGTAAGACCCAGATGCTGGAGGGAGCAGTGTGAAAGCAAGACTTGAGACTTGGAGGCTCTCCAGCCAGGGTCTTGGGCGCTCCTTGTCCCTCGGCCCTCTCCCCTGCCCTAGAATCAGGTTAAGGCTTCGTGCAGCACTCATATGATACAAATCAAATGGGCAAGGCGAGCACATACAGCTGGGGGCAGATTTTTTTCTTGAGACACCCTCCCACCCAGCTTGCAGCTCTCGAAGAGAACCACCTAGGGGGGGTAGGGGCGCCCTTCCAGAGGTGTGCTGCTTCTGGCTTATATCGTGTTCAGTGAGATCACACTGGTGACTTAAAACTTTCGCGGTTGGGCTTCCCTGGTGGCGCAGTGGTTGAGAGTCCGCCTGTCGATGCAGGGGACACGGGTTCGTGCCCCAGTCCGGGAAGATCCCACATGCTGTGGAGCGGCTGGGCCCGTGAGCCATGGCTGCTGAGCCTGTGTGTCTGGAGCCTGTGCTCCGCAATGGGAGAGGCCACAACAGTGAGAGGCCCGCGTACCGCCCCCCACCAGA